CCTCAGCTGTCTCAGGCCTGCTGTGTGGGCACCCCAGCTCTGGCAGGTCACAGCAACAGCCCTGAGGTGAGCTGGGGTCAGCTTGGGGTTCAATTGAAATTGCTGGATTTAGTCAGAGCCTCTGCTGGTTTTCCTATTTTCTCTTTATCCTTATTTTCATTGGAGATAATTAATATTAATTGGTTAGCTGGCACTGAAAACATATTTTCTGCTTTCTGCCTTAAATTAAAACAGAATCAGGAGGTAGGCATGAACTAGGCCAAGGGTCCAAACAAACTCCAGGCTTAAGGAAAGCCCAAGTTCCAACTTAAATTCTGTGCTTGAAATCAAGGAAAAAAACATTTCCGTTTGGTGAGAAGAGTTTCTTAGTCTACAGAACAGCATTCTATCCCATTTTATTTTATCTGAGCATACCTGATTGCCACAAGGATGAGTGATTGTTTTTCCCAAGGCTCCAATCCCAGTAGTATACATCCCTTCATTTTTCTTTCTTTTTTCCTAAAGATTTTTGGCAAATAATTTCCACCCCTGGCTCCTCACAGCCTATTTTGTATAGGAAGGCTCAGGACATGCCTGGGGTCACCCTCCAGGTTACTGATTAGGAAATAGTAGGGTTTGTCAACATCTGGCCACGACAAACTTTTAAAATATAAATACAGATGGTTTTATTTAAAAGGTAAAAGGTCCAAATTCAACTCAAGGATGAAGCCTGTTTTCTTTCCAATCTCATTTTTTCCCCTGCATGTTTGGTACGCTGTGTTCCATCGCTGTGAAGTGTAATCACATTTATATAATAAAACATAATTAAGAAATGGAAGCATAAATTGGGAGTTCTTTCATTTTGTGACTTGTTCAAGAAATTTCTCGCTCAAATTGAGTAGAATTTGTATATGTCAAGTATTTCTGAGCACTTATTCCCATGGAAAGAGGGAACACAAGGCTCAGTGAAGTAGAATAAAGATAATAACTTCTCTAACTGGTACATCTGTGGACCAAAAAATTAATTCCCTTCATCCAGAGTTTGGCTCTGAAGTCTGCAGCAGAAGCTCTCTTTGCATGAGCTCTGATCCTGTTTAATTGTGCAGCACCTCAAATGCAGATCCCATTGTAGCAATTCCTGCCCAGGTAGAGATTTCTACCCCGGAAAATATAATTCAAAACCTCTACAATTCATGCCCATGACTTTTCGCTGCATAAAAGCTCCCAGACCAGCAGCAGGGTGCTGAATCACCCGAGAAAATTGCACAATAAATTCAGCATAACAAGAACAAACTCTCCACCAAAGCCCTCCATAATCCACGAGGACAACCCAGCATTTGGCTCTCAATAAACCCTGTGATCAGGCACCTGAATTCAAGAAATCATCAACCTGAAATCACTTGACCTTTGGATACTGCTCCTTTAAAAATACCATCTCATGCACTCTTCGTGCCCCAGGGCTGATAACCCAATGAACCCATGGATGGGTTTATTTATCTTGTCATTTATTTATTTATCTTGTAATTTCTTCCTGTTTTGCTGAGGTTTCTCGTCTCCCTACCCCTGACAAAAGCAAAAGGATTCACTCACTCTGTGGAGCGTAATCACATTTATATAATAAAACATAATTAAGAAAGGGAAGCATAAATTGGGAGTTCTTTCATTTTGTGACTTATTCAAGAAATTTCTAGCCCAAACTGAGTAGAATTCATATTTGTCAAGTACTTCTGAGAGCTGATTCCCATAAGAGAACACTGTGCTGAGCACAGCAAAGACAGGATTTTTTGGGAAAAGGGGCAGGAGGAGAAGCACAGAATCAGCATTGGGAGGGCAATCCCCATAAAACATTGTTTTTATCAAGAAGGGGGGGAAAATCTGACATCTGGATAATGCTCCTAGCAGGGCACCAGCAAGCCTGGAGCAGGGATAAAGTTTTGGAGATTTAAATGCTGGGAATCTGATTGTGACTGTGCTTGGTGCTCAGAGCAGCAACAGGGGTGGGGACAAAACCCCTTTAATGTCAATGTGGAGCTAATTAAAACATCCTGCTCTGCTTTATCAGAGTCAAGGAGAAAACTTGCAAAAAGCTGAGCTGGTATTGCAGTAGGAAGGGATTTACAGGACAGGGTTAAATTCCAAATATTTCTAGAAAACTGCTGAAATAAAAAATAATCAAATTGCACAAAGAAGAGCAGAGAATTGTATGTAGAAAAGGGAAATCAATTGTGAGGGGCTGGGAACAGGGGCTGGAGGGGATGTGAAATGGGAAAGGTGATGGGAATAAACTCAAAGAAACAACTGGGAAAAAAAACCAAACCAATGTTGGAAAACAGTGCATGAACAAGAATTTTTTGTGTAACCTAGAAAAGCAGCAACAGGAGATGGGAAATTGTGTTCACAGCTAAACACATAAAGATCATTATCAAGGCAAAGGCAGCCAGCAGCTCTCCAGGAATGCTCCAAGGAGCACATGAGGCCTTTGGCTTTATTTGCAACAAATACCTTGAACGTATCCTCAGATTCAAGCACTCCATGAACTTGCTATTTGTTAGGATTTCTTTTTCCCTCTTTGGCATGAAAACATCCTGAAGGCAGCAGAAAATAGATAGATAGATAGATAGACAGACAGACAGATAGATAGATAGACAGATAGATATAAAATTTATATTCTTTTATATATATTATCTATTATTTATATATTATTTTATATATGTTATATAATATTATATATTATATATTATATTATTATATATTATATTATTATATATTATTTATATATATTTTATATATGTTATATATAAAAATATATATATAATATATAAATTAAGCACATGCAGCATGTATATATTAACAACACATCTTAGTCATAGAAACCCTGGGCAAACTTCAATTTGGCACACAAACATGGTTGATTCTGCCATGAGGACTTTGTTTCCAATGCAGTTTTTTGCTCTAAGCCCATAAAACTGTGACAGCTGAACCCCTGGGAGCAGCAGGAGCAGGGAGTCACACCTTGGGTTTTTCTGCCATCAAATGCAAGGCAGAACATGAGGTCCAAATGCACCAAGCAGCATCAAACTATACTTCACAATCAGATTTTTTTAAATTAAAATATGGGTTTAATTTCCCTTAAGATAACTAAAAAGAAAAGAGGGAGGACCCACCACCATTTAGTTCAAGAGGTGCCCACTTTTCCTTTTCCTTCTTCTCACTTTTCCTTCTGCTGCCCTGCAGCACATCCTGCTGCTCGCCCTGAGCACCACAGTGGCATTAGGGTGGCATTTTCACCCTCAATAACTGAATGGCAGCAAAATAAATCACTGAGGCACGAGCTGAAATCCCCCACGAAGCCCCACCAGTGACCTCAACATCCTCCGCTGCATCCTTTGTGCAAAAAGTCACAAATCTCACCCAAAACCACTCTTTTGTTTTGTCTCTTTCTCTGCAAAATTCCTGCAGCACCTGCAGTGCCAGGCAAACCTCAGGGGGCATTCCAAGCTCTGCTGTCCTAAATAGGATGCAAATAATCAAGTTTTTACTCTCTGAGGTGGAACCATGCAATGATTCCTGGAGCAATCCATCCCATTCCACCCAGGAGCTGGAACAGCTGGCAGGGGCTGCAGCTAGAAAATGGCACTGGAGATTTAGGAGGTTGTAGGAAATACTCCTGAATGTTAAACTCCATGTGCAGCTGGTGAATGGAAGGCAAAAAAGGATGTCAGCTGCACTGGTAGAGGAATGTCCTCTAATTGGAAAGATTTGGTTTTTATTGTGTGAGGAAATGATAAAATCTAGAACAGAGCATGGTTTGGTCAAGCAATGATATGGGAAATAAATGATATCAGTTCCCCAGGCTTAAGACAGAGAAACATTCAGGACAATGGGTTTGTTCTCATTTCTCACAGCCTGTGGTGGGTGGAGCAGCTCTCACCTTCAGGACAGCGATGTTTTGTGTGTGTTTGCTCTGATCAGCTGGGAAAAAAGACTTTGAAGCAGATTCCTCAGTCAGCAAAGCTCTCAGCCCCACCAGAGGCAGCTCTGACCCAGCCCCTCTGCTCTGAGTGCCCCCAGAAACATCAAAAAAACACCAAAAAACCCTAAAACAAAAGCAAGAAGCTACCTCAGGGTAAGACAACTCAGGGTCACCTCTGGTGATGTGACCTCAGACAACTCTTGTGACCGTGTTCACAGGGGTCTGAGGATGAGGGAAGAGACGAGGATCTGACTCCATGTTACAGAAGGCTGATTTATTATTTTATGATATATATTATATCAAAACTGAACTAAAAGATTAGAAGAAAGGATTTCATCAGAAGGCTGGCTAAGAATAGAAAAGGAATGATAACAAAGGACAGAGAGTCTGAGCCAGCTGACTGTGATTTGCCATTAATTAGAAACAACCCCATGAGACCAATCACAGATGCACCTGTTGCATCCCATAGCAGCAGATAATAATTGTTTACATTTTGTTCCTGAGGCCTCTCAGCTTCACAGGAGGAAAAATCCTAAGGAAAGGATTTTTCAGAAAATATCACGGCTACAAACTCTGGTTTTTACACAGGGAACTGCATCCCAAAGAGCTCTGGAGCAGCAGAGCCCTGCCAGCTCAGGCTCCATCCTGAGGGACATTTCACACTTTGCCACTTAAATATTTTGCAGACAGATAACCCATATATTTTGAAAATGAAAGAGAGAAAAGGGACAAAGCTGCCACTCAATGGAGGTAATGATGCAAAGCTGATTAATGAGAGAGGTGAGCGCTGCAGGGCTGGCAGGGCAGAGCCAGAGGGAGTTTGTTGATATACCTTCAGAAATAGGTGGAGAAGCCAGAACAGATGTGCTCCCATGGCAAACACAGCTCTGGGGAGAGGTGGAGCTCAGCTGGGTCAGCCACACACGGTGATTTCTCCACCAGGACCTGAAAAATGGGCATAAAACACGAAATTAAACCACACTTCTCTAATAAGGGCAGGACAGCTATTGGGTTTGGAGAGTGAGAAAGAGCAGCAGTGTTTGTGGAAGTTTGATGCTGTTTTGCACAGTTTGCTTTCTCAAATGAGAAAGAAACAGCCAAAAATATATTTTGATTTCTACAGAAAACCAAGCTGGAATAGGCCAAGTAAAATGACAATCTCCACTCGGCAGGGAGCTTATCACTTACCTGGAGATATTAAATGCCACTTTTCAGAGGGGATGACAGGACCTGCAGGGATCTGTGGGATCCCTCCAAACCCTCTGTGTGCTCCTCACACACCATGACCTCAGGGGTGGCTGCCCTCAGCACCAATTTAAACTGGGCTGGCCTCCTTGTCCCTCCCATAATTCAGAATTTCCTCACCTCAATTAAGGGCTGAGCTCCTTCTCCGGTCTCTGAGCCATCAACAGAAGGTTTGTGGGGTCCCCAGGGATGTTTGTTGTTCTGCAGGGATGCAGGGGCAGCCCAGATGCTCAGCAAAGACCTCTTGCGTCTCATAATGTACCTATGATCTCATGGATCCCCGTGGGGAAAATGAAAACAAACCCCAAATCCCAAATCCAGAGGTTTACATAGAGACACAGGGTTTTCTCACAGCATCAGCAGATTGTATTTTTTTTTTAATTTTTACTCATTCTGAATTTCATATGTCATCTCCAGGAGAGTGCTTTCCACATGGTCACAGTAGCAGAGGTCTCACAAAAGCAGTTTGTGTTTTCTAACACCAGCAAGAGAACAGCAAAGAGAAAATGATCTGTCTGGGATATTTGAAAGCATTCCTTTTGCTCTGGTTTGCAAAGGAGCAGGCCAGATTTCTGCCACAGAAAAATTCTGCAAAGGGGAGAGATTTGAAGGAAACTTGAAACTGGCAGAAAAGAGAAGGAAAATAAATTAGGGAGATTTATTTTAGCCTATGATTTCATTTCTGAAGTCTTATATTTGAGCATTATCTGACTATAGACACAGGTTGTTTTTGCTAAAGCGTGGAGCTCTTTATCTTTTCTGCTCTCCATGCCATGATGTTTCTGGCCAGAAATGGGTTATGTATCAAATTCACACCTTTCTGCTCATTTCTTAATAAAAATCAGCTAATTGCATCACCCCTGCTCCCTGCCAAGTGGAGACTGTCATTTTAGTTGGCCTATTCCAACTTGTTTTTTTGTAGAAATCATAATATTTTTGGCTGTTTCTTTCTCATTTGAGAAAGCAAACTTTGCAAAAAAGCATCAAACTTCCACAAATGATTCTGAGCTGATTTGGAGCTGAGGTGCTGCCTCCAGACCCTGAGCCAGTGCAATCATTACTCGGTGTTTGCCCAAGAAAAAGCACATTTAAATTTTGTATAAGTCTCTTCAACTTGTGTTACCTCCATTGTAGGTCTTCAATGCGTGGTTGAAGGAGTTGAATGAAGTAAATGGAAATATTTTCTGGCTCAGGGGGTCTCACCTGCAGCTCCACCACGTGAATTGGGACAATGCTGTAGGGCAGTGTCGCAGATATCTCTTCATGAAAAAAATCTTTTTTTAGGATTCTTCCTGCTGAGAAGCTGGGAGGCCTCAGGAACAAAATGCAAACAATGGTTATCTGCTGCTGTGGAATGCAACAGGTGCATCTGGGATTGGTCTCATGTGGTTGCTTCTAATTAATGGCCAATCACAGTCAGCTGGCTCGGACTCTCTGTCCCAGACAGAAGCTTTGTTATCATTCTTTCTGATTCTGTTCTTAGCTTAGCCAGCCTTCTGATGAAACCTTTTCTTCTATTCTTTTAGCATAGTTTTAATGTGTTATATACCATAAAATAATAAATCAAGCCTTCTGAAACATGGAGTCAGATCCTCATCTCTTCCCTCATCCAAGAGCTCCTGTGAACACCATCACAGGACAGAACATCCAAATTTGGGTAAAGGCTACCAGGATGCTGATTCATCCTGCCTGTGTCCATCCCATGCTCACCTCAGCAGCAGCATCCCAGTGTCCAGGCCCTGCCCCTGGCCAGGATTCCTCCTGCAGAAAGATAAAGAGGAATAAGAGGAATGCAAACAGCACTCAGCATTTCCAGCGCTACAGGAAATATCCACTTCTGGGACAAAGCCTTTTCTTTCTAGCTCAGACAGAGAGCTTGAAAACGATCTGCTGCTGGGAGCTCAGCCTGGTTTTCTAAGGAAACAACAAATCAAGCGCTGCAAAAGCAATGAAGGCTGGCACTGGGGTCGTGTGGGTGTTTGGCTGCTGCTGTGTTCCACCCTCCTTCCCCCTGCTATTCCAGCTTGAGCTGCCTCCAACAATGTGACCCAGACTCTCTGCCCTGCTTGCTCTTCCACATTGCATCCTGCCTGCAGATATCCTTCAGTTCAGCTGCTTCGGGGTGTCCAGAAGCTGAGGAGGATCCCAAAATCCCTGAGCTCAGCATGGTCAGTGCAGCTCCAGAGGGTCCCAGCCCAGCTCCCACCTTGCAGTGCTGTGCAAACCCAGGGCACACAGGGAATGTTTCTGTGTCTGCTCTGGGGTGCCCTGACCCCCAGGGCAGCACTGACTCTGACCCTCATCCATGGAGAAAGTTTCCTAGACTTCAATATGGACTAAAATCCACAAAAGTGTGGAATAGATTAGAGTAGTGCAGGTGTAGTGAGAAATTGAGGTTTTGGGATTTTTAGTATGTTGTGGATGGAAGGAAGATGGAGGACACAGAGTGTCATCCTGGGTTTCTTCTTCTTCTTCACTGATTTTGACTCTCATTCATGGAGAAAGTTTCCTAAACTCCAGAATAGACTAGAATCCACAAAAGTGGAATCTATAATCTACAGATTATAGAGAGCAGTGTAGGCGTGTTACTGGGTGAGAAATTGAGGTTTTGGGATTTTTAGTATGCTGTGGATGGAAGCAAGATGGAGAGCACAGGGTGTCATCCTGGGTTTCTTCTTCATGCTTCTTCTTCCTCCTTCCCCATGGGTTTGGGTGGCATTTTGTAATTGAGCAGAAAAGTCCCCATTGTGGGCTCTGTGGGATCAGTTATTGGGTTAAAAGGGAAAATAATCCAGGTGTCAGTTCTTAGTTGGATAGTTTAGCCTTAAAAGACCTTGTAACAAGAGATTGTTGGCCATTTTGTGCCTTGCTAGTGAAAAGCTGCCCAACTCATGGTTGTGAGACTGCTTCACTGATAAGAAATAAGAAATTAATATAAAATATAATTAATATAAAATATGACAAATAATAAACGCCTGAGTCCAAACGTGAACTGCCATCTCAAGTGCCTTCAATCCAGACCCAGAGAAAGCCAACACAGTGCTAGTAAGCAGATTTGGCCCAGAATTTTAAAGCAAAGCAAAGCCCTGTGCAGATGCCCAGAGTCAGGAAAAGCACAAATGGTTTGAGTTGGCCTGCTGAAATGTTGGCCATGTTGTTTAATTGTACCTCTGTACACCAGATTCCAAGAAGGAAGAATAAAAGCAACTCTGTGCATTTTCTTGCTGAGGTCAGGTTCCTGTCTCCCCAGTCCTGTTTCTCATTCTCTAATCAAATCATTCCTCTTGATACAAACATTTCCTAAAAGCCTGCCTGCCATAAAGTGCTTTAACCTTAGAATCTTATTTACTATGACCTTAACTGAAGGGTTTATTCAGCTTCATCTATAAAATGTTCTGAGCAATCAGTTGAGATCAGCAGCAAGGCCTAGCCCAGAATCAGTTCTGCCAAGCCCAGCCACTCTCAAGGGCTTAAACTGGGTTGCAAAAATACTCTGGAAGTCCAGAACAATGCAGAACATTTAGAGAAAACATCAGCAAGGCCAAAAATCCTTTGTGAGGACAAAAGGCCAACCTGGAGCAAGCTGGGTCTGGGCCATCTCACTTTGGGACCCCATTTTTCAAGTTCTCCCATGGTGAAGCCGAGGAGAATCTCAGGTCTGGGGATTGAGAAAGAGGACCAAGTATCTGGCACACCCTCAGGAATTCTCCAGGGGAAAAGCACAGCCTGGGGAAAAAGAGATTTTTGTGATCATTCCACAGTGTTGGGAGCAACAAAGGAGGAGAACTGAAATTCCAGGGCCTGGTCATTTGTTTCCAAGGAATAATTAGGAATAATCCAGGCACTGACTTGTGTCTGAGTACAACCCTTCCCCACAAAGCTCCAGCTATTGGTTTGTTACACAAGGCACTTCTGCAGAATTAATAAGAAATAAATCAAGTGAAGCCTCTCCTGCAACTTTATGGTGTTGCTCTGTCTTTTTACAGATCCTAGGTTCCCACACTGGAAGATATTCTGCTCAGCATCATGGCCAGCCATGCCTTTGGAGTCACAGCTTGGATTTCACATGGCTCTAAATAAAATAAAATTTTAAAAAAACCACCAACAACAAACCTAGAACAACAACAAAACAAAAAAAAAATCACATGCCCCTAACATGCTTTCTGGAAACATTTTGATTTTCAAATTATGTGTGTTCTCTAAAATGAGAAAAATCCTTGACCAAGAAGAGCTGCTTGTTGAAAGCATTACTTGTTTCTTATTTCAAAGGGAAGATTGAAAACATTTATGAAGGGTGTAGCTATTTACCAGTCCAGAGTGTTCTTATAAACAAAATAATATAAAACATATCCTCTTTGCTGTTTTGTTGTTTAATATCTTCCAGTGTATCGCAACGTGGAGAGCAGAACAGAGGAGAAAAGAGAGTGTATTTCCAAAATGCCTTGCAACAGGAAAAAAGGGTAAAGGACAATGTGTTTCAGCTTTAAATGCACAGAAAACATGAGACAGGTACCAATTTTCCATCAGAACAGCTGAAGAAATTGTGCTATTTACCTGCAATTCCAGTTGGGCATGTCAGGAAAAGTGAAGAAATCTGAGCAAAGTTGAGTTCATCCAGTGGAAAAATGCATGTAGGAAATCCTTGAACTTCTTTGACATTCTCTCCACAGAAATTCAGCTTGAGAAAACAGCACCAAAGTTCACCATTAAACTGCTCTTTTTAAACATTGCCCCTCATTTTATTGACAGCTCTGATGCTCGTCATAATTGCTTTACTCACATCATTTTACCCACAGAGAGCACGAAAAATAATTCCATGTGCAGAGCATCAAACACATCTCTGGGTTTGCAGCCCTGAGGGATGGGGAGGACATTTGTTCTGTCCCCTGGGGTTGGGACAGGCTGTGACAGTGCTTGAGAGGCTGAAGAAGTGGAGGAGCTGCTTTGTTTTAGAGACAGAACCAAAAGGCTCCCTGTCCTTCACATCTGTACAGCAGCTGGATTTGTCCTGTGCTCCATGCAGGCATTGGATGAGATTTCTGTGCTCTGTAAAGGAAGCAAGGGCCCAGGAAGAGCCCTGGGAAGGAGGAGTGATGCTGTTGCTGCACACACCATGCCCCTCAGAGCAGCCAGAGAAATGCCATGGGAGGTTTATTTCTGTTTCCAGGCCCACGGGAGAGGGCAGCTCTGCCCAAATCCATGCATTTCTCCCAGCTGTAACAGAAAACCATCCTTGGCAATGTCACAGTTCCCAGCTGGGACCTGCCAGCCCCTGCAGGAGCTTGGGCAGAGCTGGGGCTGTCCCAGGCCAGCTGCCCCTGGATTTTGGGGTGGATTGAGAATGTTTGACTTTCCCATCTCACTCTGTTGGTATCACCAGTGTGGGGCTTTGGTGGTGTGGAGCAGGTTCAGTGAGGTGGTGCCAATGTACATCCCCTCCTGATGAGGGTTTACTGTGCCTGAAACACTGAGCATCCCACTGACAGACTAAAAAATCCATTTACATGGATAACCCAGCCTGAAAAAGCCATTTACCTGGATAACCCAGCCTGTGCTCCCCTGTTGCAAACCTAGTTTGCTTTCATTAGGGAAAAATTAATTTCTAGGATGAAACTTCCCTCAAGATTCTCATTCATTTGGTTAAGTTGAAGAAGGATTACAAACTGCATTTCCCAGATACCTGGGACCAGATTCTCCATGGCATTAAAAGAGATGAAAAGATTTACAACAGGGCAGAGAAATTGTGTCTGTAAGGACATCCTTCTAAAATCAGAAGTTCAAATCCAAGATCCATAGAGCCCAATCCAAGATCTTTGGTTCCTGCTCTCCAAATCCAGACCATGCAACATCAGAGGTCAGGATGACAACTACAGGGCAGGGTGGAGGGGTTTTCTGTAAAGAAAGAGCCACATAGAGTAACTGTGTGCACTTCACTGGGCACAGAAAAACTGTTCCAAGCACTATGTGACTTCATTTAATATTTAGATTGGCCATGCTCTCATTTTCCCACAAGAGCGCTAAAACTTTCCCTAGGAAAAGTCAACTCCCAACTTAAAATGCCACAAAATTCAGATGTCACAAGTTCAGCTTTCCCACCAAAGAAAGGTTTGATCAGAAAACGGCCACACCTCAGACCAATATTGCTAAAGCAGGCACCAAAACCCTTCAAACACCCTGGGCATCCCTGCTCCAGGCCACCCAAAGAAATTATGCAAGCTCTGCTGGCCATGGACAAAATCCCAGCTGCTTTCTCAGGGCAAATAATTCAGGAAGGCAAGCACAGAAATATGTTTGTGTGCTCCATGATCAAAAGAGTGGCCCGAGTTAAGTTTTTGGAGAGGTTCCAGGCAATCTCATGTTCATGACAAAAATAGCCCTCAGATTGATGCAAGTGGACATTGTGCCAAAGAGGACAAGACAAGGCAAAGCAGAGTACAAGAGCAGCACAGGGAAATGTGGAACTGTTTTGTTTGCATCCTTTGATGGCCACTGATGGGAAATTTTAGCTGGCAATCATCCACAGGAGGACCTGCAGAGCCCAGCGTGGTGGTTTGGGTGAATTGAAAGCAGTTGGATTTCTGAGCAGGCAACAGTGATGTCGCTCTTTCCCAAAGCCATGAGTCAGGCTGTGCACAGGGATCCAACATGAGCAAAAAGCACAAAATGAGGGAAAATCCAGGGAGCTCCAACACGTGGCTGCATTTCCTGTGGCTCAGGACATAACTCCAGCTCCTTTTTTTTTTCATAAAAGCTGCTGGTTGAGGTTGGTTCCTCTGGGTGGACAAGGATGTGAGCAGCTCCTGCTTTTATTGTGATGAGGCACAAGCCCTGGAAATCCTGAATCAGCCAAATGGGGCTGCAAGCAACGCAACAACAGCATCCCTGACGTTATTGGAAAGATGTTCCACAACCTTCTCTTCTTCCCAGCCCTCCTGTCCAGAACCCATAACTCACTGGCCTGGAGCAGCACTGTCCTGCTGACAGGCATTTCTTGGTGCCTGATTTCACCTCCTGGCACTCCATGAAGGCTTTCATGGCTGCTCTACACTCAGTCAGGAACTGCAGTAGCTCTGTTATGTTCCCTCAAGCCTTTCTTGCTTTTCTAATATATATTTTATGAAAAATGGCATCTCTTCTTGAAAGTCCATTTTGTTCCCTCCTCTCTGTTATGTTCCCTCAAGCCTTTCTTGCTTTTCTAATATACATTTTACAAAAACATGGTGTCTCTTCATGAAAATTCCTTTTGTTCCCTCCTGTCTTGCTAGCAGCTACCCAATACTGATAAATCTATTCCCTAAAGTACTAATGCCAAGACCTGTCACAATAATAAGCGTGTGGACCACTGTCCCAGCAGGTGTGAGGCAGAAGAGTGACTAAAAGAATTTAGCTATCATTATCTGCTGAGTTGATAAGTTTGCAACTTATTGTTTGTGGTATGTCTTCTTTATGTTCTCAGTATTTGCTTTGCATAAACATGTGCCACAGCTCAGCAACCATGAAACACAGAGGATATGGATTTGCTGAAGACATTTATGGCCATGTGATGCTGATGAACTTGTAAATCACACAATAAGAGTCATACAAGAAGCAAGAAACTGGAGCAAAAAAGAAAAAAACCTTTGAACAAAAATGCACATTTTTCATTTCACCAGCTTTACCAAATAGACCAATATAAATCTATTGGGTCAAAATTTTCAGGAAATAGAGCTGCCCAGACCTAACAGACAATCCACAGTGATTCCAAATGAGCAAAGAGCCTGTCTCACTGGAGCTAAAGTTTTTGCAAACTGATGTCAACTCAGCAAATAATAACAGCCAAATTGTTTTAGAACTCCATCACCCCCATCACTGTCATATCCTGTTCCCCAGAGCCCAGACTTACTTGGAAATGCCCTTCTCTCTTTTGCTGTGCATCACAGGCCTTGGTTCTGCATTTGGGGTGGGAACTGCCTTTCCTGCCCTGCAAATCCTGCTGCTGACATAAAACAGGTCCAGACACCAGAAGCTGGGCTGGCAGGGTGGGATGAGGCTGCAGGAGAAGGTGTGGCTCCATCCCATCACCTGCTGACTCAGCTGGCACTAATGATGTTTAATGAGGGTGATTGTGCTCGGGAAGAGGTGCTGCTGTCCCTGAGGGCATCATCTGTGTGAGACACTTCATCCAAATGTGACAGTTCATCCAAATGTGGCACTTCATCCAAATGTGGCACTTCACCCAAACGTGGCTCTCCCACACTGTCAGAACTCAGCACATCCCTCTGGGTGTCCAGATTACCAAGGATCCCGTTGGGGGGCTCAGAGACCCTGGCACGCAGCCCAGAACACCTGGGGATTTGATTTTGACCCCTTGGAGCAAGTTGCCAGCTTTGTATGAGGACCTGAAAGTCACACAGGTTTGAATAGTGTAATAATGAAATGATCACAGGGTGAAAACGTAGATTTTAGGATTTTTGGTATAGGGGTTATGGGGACAAGATGGAGGAACTTGGGTGTGTCCAGCCCTCCTCCTCCTCCTCCTCCTCCTTCTTCTCCTTCTTCTTGTTCTTGTTCTCCTTGTTCTCCATTGTCCGCAGTGATGTTGGCACTTTGGGATTGGTCTAGAGTAGAAGCTCACTGTCTAACATAGGTGATAGGTATTGGGAATTAAGTGTAAATATGTTATATGTAGTTTGTAGTCTAAAAGGACAACACAGAGTGCCTGTGGCTGCCCTGCTGAGCAGATCTTGGCTGGGCAGAAGGAAAATTTTATAGATAAGAATTAATAAACAACCTCAAGACTGCAAAGTGAAGAGTCCAGACTCGTTCTTCAGTTGTGTGGCCGAGGCAGAGACACCCTGCACATCTCGGGGCAGCAATTATCAACAGCAACCCAAGACCAGATATTGCCCCACAGCAGCCATTTCAGCAGAGGGCCTGGGGCAGAGCTCATAAAGCCAGGGAGGAAAGGAGCAATGGGGCAGTTTCAGTTCAGTGAGTGGCTGTGACCAAGCTGTGCATCACAACCTGAAAATCCCCACTGCACTTCCACAGGAGGAATTACACAGTTCTGCTTCCAGCCTTTGGGCTTCCTGTGACACATTTGGCTATTTTTTCATTTCTGTGCAATATCCTTGAACAAATCAGGAGGACCACTCATGGCCTTTAATTGGGAAATTGGTGGGCCAGCATTACAAGCCCTGTGGGTTCCCACAGCAGGTATTGCCACACCTTTTCTCAATGCCACAGGGGACAGCCAGAACCATGGTCTGATGAAATCCATCCTGCTTCTGCCATGCTGGAAATCATTCACCTCTAAAGACACCCTCAAAGGTCCCACCACTCCAGAAAATCTACACTGTCCTTCATGTCTGGTTTTGGAGCTTCTGATTTGTGTAGACCTGGGAGCAGACCTGCAATGACCAGCTCAGGCCCTGCTTTATGAGATCCATAAATGAGATCCTGACAGGGTTTTCTGAGCCTTTCTTTCCAAAGGGGGTCTGTGTTCTTGCACCCTTTGCAACACTCTCTTCCTGTGCAGTCAACACAGATGTTGAAATCTACAGTAATTCTCAGTATGCTCATTAAAATGAGGCTGTGGTTCATTTTTGCTTCCTCTTCCAATAATTTTCTTGTCTCCCTCCTCTTCCAGGATAAACCTCCCACACCACCAGCGTGAGGGGGTTCCCTGAGC